ACACAACACTGAAAAAGTAATTTAAAACCTCCAGTGCAGAGCAGACTTGTCAGTCCAGAGAGCATAGTTGGCATTAGCATAGCAAAAGTTTTGACAGCAAACATAGTAGAGTGTGCAGTTTTTGGATGTGAACAGGCTCTGGAGCTTCCTCCCACTATCGACAGAAAACCCCGTCGTAGCTTGCCTGGGTCCAAGACCGTGGAATCTTCGCACTCCTCTGAGTTCACTGACTGACTGTTCACTGACTGTTGACTGATTCTGGAAACAGAATATCATGAGTTGCTGAGTACAAGCTAACCAACAACATGAATAAAAGATGCTAACTACACTTAGCATTCTGATATTTGTTAATTTTGGTGCAAAACAGACTCCTCATCTAAGTCTGGGTGTGACTGAGGCTCAGACATGTATGTCTGAATCTCAGTGATGTTTCTTCTAATGCTAACGCTGCCAGCTTACTGCGCACTGCTCTTTCATTGGTCCACCTAACGCTGTCAGCAAGCTGCGTAGGTAGTCGGGCACAAGACGAGATCCCAAACTTCTCAGTAAGGGAGAAAGAGTAGATCGACTTCTGACTTCTTTTCAGAGTTTTTTACTGTTATGTGGGAAAACTATGTTAAACAAAATATTAGTATTTGTACTTGAGAATGTGTCTGCAGGGGGCTACATGGTGCAATTTCTAAGCCCAAAGACATTTGAGATCTAAATATTATTTGTAGTCACCGATCACGGTTAATTAAACTGGGGCAAGACAATGATGCCACCAAACACAATAACAAGCTAATCAGCATACAGATTGAAATATCATGACAGATGTTGGATACATCGGGACAAAAGTTTGTACAGACATTCATTGTCCCCTGGGAATGTATGTGAATAAATCTGGTGATAATCTGACTTTTCATTTAGTGCAACCAGCAGGTTAACGCTTATGATGTTGTGTGAAATGTCTTGGGGACTAATGGATGAATTGCCATTAAATTTTGTTCAGACAGTCATGTTCCCCACAGGATAAATAAAAATTAATAAAATTCACCAAATACCTGCCAAACAATTGACATCACTCTTGGCTGTACTCTCAGTATTTAGCACCAGATTCTGCTATTGTCAGGACCTGGGCCCAGTATTTCAAAACTTGTAATCCGGATCAGAATAATCCGGATAATGAAATCCTCCTTTTCACAGTCAGGGATCAAGGTGATCCTGCTGACTTTATCTGGGTATTTCAAAACATTGGCAGGGTGGATCACTTTGATCCCAATCTGACTGGATACGGATTTCCAAATCTCACGACTCCACCCCCGGATCTGAAACGTTTCCCCTTTGGGGGCGTGGCTTTCAGATTATGACCTGCTGTGCTCTGTCTTCACAGCGGAACACTTCACGAAAGGAGCAGTTGGTAGCCCAGCTTTCGCATCAAAATGTAAGTATACCGTTGTCTAATGTATAGCGTTTTTAAGACCATACGAAGGCCACTCACCATCTAATGTGAGCCAGCTATTTGAATTGTCACCTACTTAAAACGTGGGCGTACCGATCTCTAATTGAGCTGAGGTCATGCTAACGGTAGCTAACGCGGTTCCATTGACTTGCATGTTAAGTAGCTAGCAGGCTAGTGAAGTAGCTGGCTTTGCTGATGTATTTTGCGGTCTACAGCTTAATTTAAAAGGTAATTAATCAAAAGTACGTCATACATGAACTCTTTAAACAACAGCCTGTTCAGAGTTTAATGTTATGTTATTGCCAACACAGCGGACTTTTTTTATTTTTATTTTTTTTTTACATGTGTGCAGAGCAGACTGCTTCAGTATAGGAAAAATACACAGTACTAGTATGAATTATGCAGTTCATTCAGAAGTGTCAGAGGATTGAGTTTGGGTATGCTACAGTAATGCTGATGATATGCTTTTCTGTAACGTTACTTAAACAATTTCTCTGACTATTGTGGATTCCTGACAATGACAAAGATATGCTCATACACACTCTACTTCTACTTTCAGAATACACTCACCACCTGTACCTGTACCACCTTACAAAGCCAATTATGGTCACACTTACATTAAGATCTGGAACAAGATCCTGTACTACATCAGAGCATTAACCTCTATTACACATTTCAAACATGCATAGAAACACTATCTGATGGAAGGACAGACCTGCAACCACCATATCCCATTTTATGTGATCCACTTCAGTCCACTACTTTGTAGTGTTTATGTAGCTGCTTACGTTTTGTTATTTTGCCTCAGCTGATTGTTTCTGTTTTCATTTTGTATTGTAATGTTTTTTGTTGCATAACAGGAACCTGCTGAAAACCAACTGAGTCAGGACAGTTTTAACTGTAACACACAATGTTGCTTTTAATTCCTTTCTTGTATAAAGAAAGAAATGAAATGAAATTAAAATGAAAAGACAAAACAATGATACAAAAAGAGGCTTAACAACTATTACCTGTGTGTGTCTTGCTGCTTTGTGCCTTTCTGTGCCCTGATTTTCCTCCCCTGTGCCTCACACAAGCTATATGCTCTTGCACATTTGGTTTGAAACTGCCTCAACTCTAGTTTTCTCT